CGGAGGGGCGTCGGGTGGGGAAGAGGGCGGGCCGAGCCTGGAGGAGCGGAGGGAGGAGGAGGGTGAGAGGATGAAGCCTGCGGGCGCGAGGAGCAGATGGGAGAGGGACGGGGTGGGAGAGCGCTCGATGGGAGCCGGGGGAGTGTTTGCGGCCGGGTGGCCCTCGGCCACGGCCGGGGAGTCTCTCTTGACATCGCCGCCGCCGACGCACTCGCTGCCCATCACCCCGCCCCGTCGAGCCGGCCGGCTGTGTGGCCCCCAGTCCATCTACTTCTCATCTCCGCCACTCCCCTTCAGTTCAGGCGTCTGTCGCCTCCTACCTGGGCGATTGCATTGTCCTACCTGATGTGCCCCCCGCGCTCGGGCCCCTCTGCTGTGGGCCTCGCACCGTGGCCGGTGGGATGTTTCAAAATGCACATCAGATCCGGACCCTCCGCTGCTTAAAACTGGCCAGCTGCCCACCTCTTGTAGGGTCAGTCCCAGATCCTCGCCCAAGCCCTGGAGATCTGGAACCTCCAACCTCTCTCTCCCTCCCGCTCAATACTCTTCACACTGTCCTTTTCCTGTTCCTTCTACATACCAAGCCCTGGCCCTCCTCCGGGTCTTCACACTAAGCCTTCTCTGCCTGGCTGGCTCTTCCCCGCCTTAGTTCATCCTTCAAATCTGCACTCAAGTATCACTTCCTTAGGAGGCATGCCTGAGCCCTGACTCCTCCTCCAGGTGAATTCCCCACTTTTGTCACCCTGTGTACTTCTTCACCACACTTGAACAACTGCAGTTTTACTTTTATTTGTGAAAGTATTAAAATGTCTGTCCATTCCAGCAGATAATAAGGTCCAGAAGATAGTGTCTGGTTTTGCCCCTTGTATCTCCATCATCTTGCACAGGACTAGGCACTGTAAATATTTATTAAATAAGGGGATGGAGGACATGGCTTTGACAGGAGGAAGGGGGTGTGAATCGTGGTCCCTGATAGCCTGCCAGTGGGGGAAGGAAACCAACCTTGGAATACTTTCTTTGCAGAGCAATACCCAGCGTCCAATAGAAATAAAATGCACTATGTGTAGTTTAAATTTTTTAGTAGCCACATTAAAAAAGTAAAAGGAAACAGGTGAAATTAATTTTTGGAACACATTTTACTTAGCCTGTTATATTCCAAAATAACATTATTTTGACATGTGATCAATATAAAAACACTATTAGTGAGATAGTTCACAGTTTTGTGGGTGCACTAAGTCTTTGAAGTCTGGTGTGTGTTTTCTACCTACAGCCAATCCATTTCAGTTTGTGGTGACCACATGCCCAGTGCTCGGCGGCTGTACAGGACACAGGTTAGGTGCTACCGTATCGGACTGTGCAGTTCTGGAAGCTTCGTATACCTGTGGCATTTAATCCCCTTTAGAGTCTTTTGAGGTAGTTATTGTTACCTGCATTTTACTAATAAAAATAAGGAAGCTCCTAAAAGTTACATTGCCTGCTGGTGCTCATCCTAGAGTTTGTGAGTGGAGGAGGGAACATGAGGACCGGGACCCCATGTGTTAATCTGGAGTCTGGTCTCTCTATACCTTGTGCTGCCTCTGGGAGGTGCCAAGGAAGTTTGGGGGTGCAGGAAGTGGGGACTAAACTTGAGAACAGTGGCACCGTGGCTATATTGTGTATTCTGTCTGGTTTCATGCAGAGCAATGTGTCTGGACGCATCAGTACCACCTGTCTAGGTGGCTCAGGAACAAGCATATTTGATGCATTTGGAGGAAAACCCTGCAAGGCAAGTCCTTCTTTGACCCAGTCCCTGTACCGCTCAGCAGTACACACCCTGGTCCCAGGATCTGGGGAGAAAAATATGCACGCCCTGCAGCATCGCAGCGGTCCTGGGAGCACCACGCTCGAGTTAGCATCCTGGCTGCTCAGTTCCACAATTGCTCACCGAGTGAGGTTCCCCTCAATGCGAGGCCAGCACAGTTCTAGGCTATTTAGGGGGACTGGGGAGTGTAAGTCACAGCCTTCATTTTCAGGATGCTTACCGCGGAAAGACAAGACCAGATCACAGGGTGATCTAGATGATGCGCAAGACAACCATGTGGTGTGATGGAGAACCAGAATCAGCAGTCTGCAGAGCCTGCAAAGTTGCTCTCGAGGCCAAGCTGTGAAATGTGTTTGAAAGTGTTGAATTTGAGTTCCTTCAGGTGGGGTGGGTGCTTTGCAGTTTGCCTCCGTGCCTGCATAGACGCTACTTGGCTTATTTACTTATCTGCCCAGCTGCTTAAGGCGTTTGAGTTTGTCACCCCACTAGGCATGCTGGTTTAATGTGAGTCACCAGGAAAGATTTGTTGAGCGCCTGTTATGTGGCAAGCCTTTTATTGGCCATGGCTCTGGCACTGACTAAAAAGTCTCCAAGGTGCTTTTTCTAGAAGAAAATAATAATAATAATAATAATAATAATAACAGAACACCCTCACCAGCAGTGCTTTGCCTTTGTATTGATTTGTCTCCTCCTTTGCCTTCACATATGTTCTCGTTTTGTCATCAGTATCCTGCAGCCTGGAGGGTAGGGGTTTTTTTTATGCTGGGAAATGTGGTTGCAGTGTTTTTGCAACTTCTTCAAGTTCACACAGCTGGAATTCTGCTTACTCTGTGTCAGAAATTGTGCTTCTATGATTAACATAGATTATCTCACTTAATATTCATAACCACTTTAGAGAGTAGGGTTGATTCTAATCCCCATTTTACAGATATGGAAATTGTTAGAGCTGGAATCCAAATCCAGGTCTGGCCCACTCCAGAACAAAAGCTCCTAACCATTAAGTGACACTGGCTCACCAGAAGGTCAAGGTAGGAAGAGAACCCAAAAACATCTAGTCTGACCCCCTCACGTAGATCAGGACAAGAGGGTTAGAGAGGCTCGTGGTCGTGGTGAATCTGGGCAGCGGGGTCTCCTGTGTTGCAGAGAGGGAACTAACCCAGGCATGGGGGACCAAGACCTTCCTTTGTCCCCAACTGGTGGTGTGGCCTTGCCAGCTTCTCTGGACCTCAGTTCTCTTATTTATAAAATGAGAGGGCTTGGCCTGATTTTACAACGAGAACAGTGCTGTTTTGTTATAGTCGGTATTGAAAGAGTTGGGCCCAAAGCCCGGGCCTTCAGCCCTAACCCAGGACTCTTCTCAGCTCACCACGCCCCCTCCCCCCACGAGCCCTGCCACCCTGTTGCAGCCACAGTGGTCTGTTGAAGGGGAACAGTTTCTTAAAGTTCATCAGTATTTTCCATCTCAGTGTCTGTTTCACTTCCAAAACCTGAGGCAAGCAGTCTGTAAATACTGAGCCCTTCTAAATCTGTCGATTATTATAGTTAGGGATTTGTAAAGTTCTAGGCAATGGACAGTCCTCTGTAGTGTTTTTTATTCTTGTTGAAAGGCTGTTAGATCTCAGGACATCCTGGAGGGTATTTTTATTTATCTTATTTATTTATGTATTTATTTTTAGAGAGGGAGAGGGGGAGAGAGAATCTTAAGCAGGCTCCACGCCCAGTGCAGAGCCCAAGGCGGGGTTCAATCTCACAACCCTGAGATCATGACTGGAGCTGACATTAAGAGCCACCCAAGTGCCCCATGGAGGGTACTTTTAGTGTGGAATTCTGCAGGTGCTGCAGTGTGCCAGGCATTGTGCTGCAAGCTTTGGGGAAGGGGGGCGGGTAGGAGACCCAGGCTGGATGCGTCCCTGCTCTCGGATGGCTAACAGTCCTGTTGCCTGTGGCTCTCAGCCTGACCACCGTTAGGATCACTTGGGTGGGGAAGGGGTTCGGTGGCGTGGGGTGAGCATTGATGGTGCACAACCAGAGTTGAGAACCACTGGTCTAGAATCTGCTTCTCAGGCTTGACCGTGCTTGTGAACCCCCGGGGGTCTTGTTAGAAGGCAGATTCTGATTGAGTGGGTGATCCTCCATGACTGCCGGCTCCCGGGCGCTGCCGATGTGTTTGTGTGCAGCTCACACTTTACTAGCAGGGGAGGAGGCCCCACATAGAGAATTACAAGTCAGTGGGACTGTGAAACTTTGTATAAAAGACTGGGAGCGCAGAGGAGGGTGCAGTTAATTCTGCCTGAGGTGCGGAGACGAGGAAAGCCACACCCATGAGTGATTGTGTGAGCTGGGCCTTGAAGGATGAGTAGAAGTTTGCCAGTTGGCTAAGGGGGAAGGCATAACGGCTCAAGCGAAAGCTCAGACTCAGAAGAGCATGATGTTTGAGGGAACAAGATGGCCTGGTGCGACATACTAGCATCTCCACGGGAGAGTCTGGAAGGCAGTTCCACCCTGAAGAGCCACTGAGTGGAACTGGGGTCAGCCTAGTGCTCTGCTAGGGAGTTTAAACTCTGGTCTCCACGTATAGGAAGCCTGTAGAGGGTTTCTGTGCAGGGTAAGAGGAGACCTAGTGATCCTTAGGGTAGGTGTTCAGGGGAAGAAGCCCGAGCAGTTACCCAGTTCTCATACCCTTCCTCGCTGTGCTTTGGCCCAAGTTAGTGGCTTTTGGGTGAGTCTGGTGTTCAGCAAATTTCTACAAAGAGAAACGTTAGCCGCTATTGGCATGTGATGGGCCCTGGGCGTTTCGAGCAGTGTGTGGCAGAAACTGAAGCTCTGTCAACCCACTTCCCCCGCTCTGGACCCGAGAGCTCATCCTCATCCAGCGGTCCGAACTCAGGGAAGTTGAGTCACTCCGCAGATGAGAAGATTTCAGAGGGAGAAGCCTCTAGTGAGATTGCGGTTTCAATTAGAAAGAGGGTGTGACCTCTAGTTCCCTTCCTGGTATGGTGGACTCTGTTGCAGGAAACGTAAACCAGACTCACCCACACCGTCCCCCCACTGAATCAAAAGCAAAAGAAGAGAACAAAAAAGCACACATCAATCCTTATCCTTAAAAGAGTGGGAAGGAGGGAGGAGGGAGGATGGGGAGCTGGAAACCGGGAATCTTCATTCTGAATTCCTTACTGGTGGGAAGGGATCCTCTTTCACTTCCTTCCTTCAGATGGGTTGTGTCACCCTGCCCTCAGAATCCAGCTCTTTGGAGCAGTCACTGCATGGGTGATGATAAAGCTCCACGGGGCCTTTTTTCACGGTGTTGATTTCATAAGCACGCCTTCCAGAGGCCACTCCGGGAATGCTCCATTGGAGACACCGAGGTTACTATTTCTCTCATTTCCCCAGCTTTGCCTTTGAAACCGTGCACTTTCATTCTCCTGCCTTACAGAATTACCTTCCTCAGATCAAATGTGTGCCTCTCTCCTGTTTGTGGCATGGTGAGTTTTCCCAGCCGGCTTGATGTCTGCAACACTTGCTTTAAAGGGGGTGGGAGGTGAGGGGTGGCGAGTGGTCTCATCTGGAAAAGGGGTATCACTTCTTTGCCCCTTGGGCCTGGATGTAAACCACAGCTCCCTTATCCCGGCTGTTTGCTGTTGAACTCAAGAGCACCACTGAGCGCCGAGCAAGAGGCTATTTATAACCCCAAGAGTTTTGCAATGTTATTGAATTGCTTCGACCTAATTTCCACTTCCTTTCTAAAATGAAAATGAAGAGTAAGCAAGCAAGTACTGAAGGAGGTCCCCACAAGGAGACCCTTCATTCAGGAATGTGCTCGGGAGAACATGACCAGTCCTACTCTCCTGTCCCCTGCCCCCTCTACTGAGAGAAAAGCAGAGGGATACTCGCCCCTTTCTTTTCGGTAGAGTCAATCAAGGGCACTAAACCTGGTTTTCCGGTGAGACGTGTTCTTATGTCGGAGATGACAACCAGACTCTTGACAGTGGAAATACTGTGTAACTGGAAGGTGGTGGGATGTGCAGGGAACACCAAATTCACGCCAGTCCCTTTCCATTCAGAGGCAACCCTGGTTCATAGGAGTTGAAGAAGTCAGAGGTGATGGATTTGCGCAGACACTGGTGCTTACTGAGCCATAACTGCGTGCCAGGTGCTGGGCTAGGTTAGTGGGCGACAAGGGTACCTTCCTTGGAGGAAGAGCTAGTGAGGAAGAGAGATGCATAAATACTTCACTGTGCTTGGGCTCCAAGTTAGTGGCTTTTGGGTGAGTCTGGTGTTCAGCAAATTTCTACAAAAAGAAACGTTATTATACAGCATCAGCTGTATAATAATAATAATACCTATAACGGAGTAGGACAAGAGCCCTCATAGAGGTCTGAACAGAATGCTGTGAGAACACAGTGGCCCCATCCTATTTCATTTTGCTAGAGAAAGGTGGGGACAGCTCAGAGTGGTAGAGAGGAAGTGACATCTGACCTGGGCTTTGATGTTTGAATAGGAGCTCTTTTGACAGTCCAAGGAAGGAAGAGGACATGCAGGGGGACAGAAGAAATGAAAGAACATGGCCTGCCTCATAGAAACAGCAAGCAGTCTAGGAAGATCTGGCTAGATGGAGAAGAACTGAATAGCACGTGAGGAAGTGTGGATCTCCTCTAGACAGTGGGGGAACCACTCCCTGTTGGACCAGGGAGCTCTTGTTATGCAGGTCCCTTTCCTTCAGGGTGCTTTAGCTTCAGGTACAGCAAACCAGAATCCTCCAGGCACCTGCTGCGGGCCACAGACAGATCTACCTGCTGCTCACATGGCTTTCAAACAGCACCAAACTACCCGGAATCTAATTATTATTATTAGTTGTGTGATGCTGAGCATGGTCCTTAATTTCTCTGTGCTTTGCATTGTCTTATCTGTTAAATGGGCGTAAAAATATGCCACCTAGTGTTACTGTGTGGATTAAATGAATCAATATATGTAAAGTCCTTAGAAAAGGACCTTAGCACTATGTAATAGTTAGCTAATGTCATCAGCATCAAAGAAGTATTATGTAGAGGGAAAAGAACAAACTTTGAAGTCATACAACTCAACAAATCCAGTTCTGATCTGATTTCTTTCTTTTTTGTGGGGGGAGGGGAGGTGTGGGAAAGAGCCCTGTGGAAGACAAGCTTCTCAACCCTTCTGAACTTCAGTTGTCTCATCTGTAAAGTGGGGATGATTTTCAGGGTTCCTTGAGCATCAGCTGTAATAATGCTATAGAAGTGAGTGATCAGGGGTGCCTGGGTGGCTCAGTCGTTTTAAGCGTCTGCCTTCGGCTCAGGTCATGATCCCGGGGTCCTGGGATCGAGCCCCGCATCAGGCTCCCTGCTCAGCAGGAAGCCTGCTTCTCCCTCTCATATTCCCCCTGCTTGTGTTCCCTCTCTCGCTGTCTCTCTCTCTCTCTCTGTCAAATAAATAAATAAAATCTTTAAAAAAAAAAAAGAAGTGAGTGATCAGGGGCGCCTGGGTGTCCCATTGGGTTAAGCGACCAACTCTTGATTTCAGCTCAGGTCGTAATCTCAGGGTCATGGAATGAGCCCCCCATCAGGCTCTGCGCTCAGCGGGGAGTCTGCTTGTCCCTCTCCTCCTGCTCCTCCCCTTTTCCCCCCTCCCTGTAAAATAAATGAATAAATAAGTAAATAAATAAAATCTCAAAAAAAAAGAGTGATCAACTGTAAAGAGGCTATCCATTACTATTATATACAACATGATTACTAAAAGGTCACTTAGATAACTAATCTGTTTTAAACACACCAGACTTATCTAAGTGGGTTTTACTCTTTACTAATTGAGCTCGTGTTAAGTAAGGGCCTACTCACTGTCATTACCCTTGGCCTGTTTCGCTGCTGCCTGTGTGGGCCCCCATATCAGAGTTCCTTCAAAGCTTGGGGTCAAACTTAGTCTTGGGCCTTTTCATTGCAGTGAACAGAAAAGCAGACTAGTTCCATTTAAAGGAGGTTTTTTTGGGGCAGGATCCAGGGAAATTTCAGGCACCTCAAGTGTAGGAGTTGGAGCCATGGAATCTGGGAAGGCTTTTCCATCTCTTTTTGGGACTTTGTGGTTTCTGGTTTCTGGCCTCCACTTATCTACACATTTCTGGATTCTTCCTGCAGAACAGCTTCCTCTGGAAGACTCTTGGTTTTTGCTTCTTGGTATCTTTGGCTTGCTGGTGGCTTTGGCTTGCCAAGGTACCTGCTCTGAGGCTGACTATGACCTTTCTGCCCCAGGGCCCCTTGCCATCCAACTTCCTTAGCCTGTGTCTTTAAATTTAAGAGAAAGAATTAGATTCGTCCAGCTGAGGTTGAGCGTTCACCTCGGTCCCACCAGCTGGGGCAGGGTTGGGGAGAGTGTCATGCAATACACACGGACAGCCTGCCCTGTGTGAGAAAGGGCAGAGTTGCTGAGAATGGGGGCTCATAGTATCTCTTGAATAGTCTCGGTGGTTGCAAATCTCCACGCTTTAAAATGACTATGAATTTTTGAAACAGCCAAGAATCACTCAGGGTGAAATTTAATAAAGAGACAGTCAACCTAGGAAATGCCAAGTGGGGTCAGAGTAAAGTGGAACAGCCAAATAATGAGCTTTAGCTTCGTTGTCTCCAAAGACAGTATCCAGAAAGGAGTTCTAACAAATAACAGTTGTTTCTTAGCAGCACCATCGGAAATAAGGGCGTGGTTTCTTTGGGTGTAGACTTTGAAATGGGCAATCTTCATTTGGATTTGTAAGTTCTACTTTAGAATCATGGACTTTTAGACTTAGGATGCACTCTATACGTGCTTTAGTTCAACACTCACATCCCACAGTAGAGACTTGGGTGAAAGGGACACGTCCACATTGCCCAGACACCTAGGGATGGGACTGTGACTGGGTCCTGAGTCCGTCGGGTCCAAATCCAGTTGCTTCTTCAGCAGGACAATCATCCCAGCTCCTTCTCTTGCACCTGCACCACCTACTTGTTGCAAAGAGAAGAAATAAATGAGAAATGGTCTAAGAAGCCATCCTGTGCACTTCTGTGTATATAAAGTGCAAAAACAGGCAACACTCATGTATGGCGAGAGAAGTCAGAAAGGAGTTGCTTCTTGGAGGGCTGGAAGCTGGGGGATTGACTGGAAGGAGGTAGGAGGGAATTTTTCAGGGTGATGAAAATGTTCAAAGTCTTGTTTCTGGTGGTGGTTACAGAGAGATGTGTGTATTTCTATTCTATATATACACACGTACATGAGCTCTGTGTGTTTCATATGTAAATTATGTCTCAGTTTTAAAAAATGATCTCACAACTGTACAGTCATACCTCTTAATTATGGCACATTTACCGGTAAGGATAAGGATGCTGCCCTAGGCATCCAGAGAGTCACGGTCCCACCCCTGCTTTGCCATGTTGCCTTTCAACCAGGAGGTATTCTAATGGGAACAGTCCATTGTGTGTCTAGGCCCAGGAACATCACATGCGGGAGATTCTGCTTGGAGCTGCAGACGTTGCAGAAGCTTTAGGGACCATCAGCCTAGCCCCCTGCAACCCTTTTAGGCTTGATTTAGTTCCAACGAACAGAAATTCAGGCTAGCTCGGAGGGGAGGGGAAGAGCACCGGCCAAAGTCGGCTCCAAGTTCTGTCCCCTTTCCTACCTATTAGCTGGTTGAACTGGGGCCCTTTTAACCCACCTCTGAGCTCCAGCTGTGTCATTTCAGAGGTAATAGTCTGGTTCTGTCTACTTCCTGAGGCTGCTGGGAAGGCTCAGCAGAATCAGTGAAAGCCCTCAGAAAACCATCTGTGCATTGTCACGTGCTGGAAATGCTATTGACACTTGCCTTCTGGGGCAGCCCACCCTGATCGGGAAATGGTCATGGAAGCTTTCCTCTCACGGAGACTCATGGGTGTGTAGGGGAAGGGACTTTTACCCCTTTCACCAGACGGGTCTATGTTCACGGGGCTGTGAGAACTGACATCCGTGTCTGGGCCTAAAAGTTGATAGCACACACGAATAGCAGCTTAGCAACGGCTCTGCTGCGAGTTCAGGAGAGCCAGGAGGTCTCCATTAGTGAAGTGTGAAGTGCGGAGTGAGCAGCTGAGCCTGGCGGAGGCCGGAGAAGGTCTTTTACATTAAGAGAGCGGCCTCTCCTGAACCTGTAGGCAAGGAACGTAAATATACATGGAAATAATCCATCAGTCGAGTGACTTGCCTTCATCAGACCTTGGAGAGAGGATGCTTTAGCTGCTGCTTGGAATACCGCTAAGCTAGCAGAGTTGCCTAGGAAACCGGTCACATGGGCCCATCTTCCAGACCTGTTCAAAATGATTTATTTTCCTTTATTTTGGAGACAAATGGGGGAGGGGGGTTAGAGGTACTTCCGAAGCCTCGTCCTCCTATAGAGGGGCCTTTGTGTGAGGCAGTCCTCACCTCCCTACGCTTGAGCTCCAGCAGCCCTTGCCCTTGGCAGTAGGGACTAAAATAGCATTTCCTGTCCCAGTTCTCTTCCCCATTTTCTGAACTCTGCGTCATCCCACACAGAGGAGGCCCCACATTGTGTCCTTTGAGGGGGAAGGAGTGGAGCAGTAACTAGGGAGGAGGCGAGAGAGCATGTGGCCAGGCCCTGCTGACACTGGGATCCTCCTCGGATGGCTGCGGAACACAAGTGGGCTGGCTCCTCAGCCAACCACTCAACCAAGCAAAGGCTCTGCCTATTCTTATCTGTCTCTGAGCATATGCTTCTCCCTCCCAAGGTCCCCAAGTAGGAATTTGCAGTAAATTCATTCTTCTACCACACAGTGCTCCTGACCCTTAGACCGAAGTGTCGCGTTGGCAGATCTTGCTACTGGCTGATCTGCCGTTGATGGATAGGTTTGTCCCACTTCCACTTGCTGACTTAATCTAAAAGAGACAAAAAGCCCAAGGAGAGGGTCTGAGTGTGATATAGAAAAATTCCAACCAAGTAGTTCCATATGTTACTTTGGACACTATGTCTTCTGATTCTCAAAAATATCTGATGAGTGAAAAATGAAGGCAAACTCTCTGACTCTTTCCTTCTCTCTGATTCTTTCTCTCCAGGCGGCTGTGTCTGTGTGTGTTTCTTGGGGAAGTAGGGCCCATTGGGAACAATGCCACCGCCATCAGACATTGTCAAAGTAGCCATTGAGTGGCCAGGTGCTAATGCTCAGCTCCTTGAAATCGACCAGGTGAGCTCCTGAAAGGAGAAGCAGAAGCAGCGATGCAGGACGGGGGAGCTGGGAAGTGCACGGCAAGGGGTGTCTTCAGGGGTGGGGGCCTTTGGCATCAGGAGTAAGAACCAGCAACAGGAAGGTCAAGGCCTGTCCCGCCCCATGGAAGGTCAGTCCCCCCGGCTTGGGAGAGGTTTTCTCTCCAACAGAAGCTATCAGGGAGGCAGGCCCCAGGTTGATCCTCCTTGGCAGCCCCTCTGGCATGAGTAGCATGTGGTTGCAGGTGAAGGATCTCTTCTCCCCCCGCCCCCCC